GACTCCTGCCTTTACAGCTTTGGGGTTTTTTACACCGTGCCCCAAACCTGAGGAGTGTCTCTGTCTCCCTTCACTTGGATCCTGGAGAGATTGATTCCATGCACAAACCCTTCCCCTGCCCTCAGCTTCCATCCCACCAGGGACACCGGACTCTCAGCAACACAGGGATGGATCCCAGGGGTTGGCACTGGGCTCCTGGAGCCCTGCAGAGCCTCGAGTGCCAGCTTTGCCTCTCAGGCCAGTGCAGATCCAGGCACTCTGTGCCCTGGCCGTGGGCTCTGAGTCACCTCACCCACCTCCCAGCTGATGCTCCTCTCGGTCCCAGCCAAGGTCCCCAGCTCAGGGGACACAGCCCCGTCACACCCCGGGCCTGGGGGACACGGCGGCGGGTGGAGAAGATGGGAACCACCTCGAGAATTCCGGAGGAAGAGCAGCGGGAAGGAAAGGCCCCAAATCCTAAAGGAGAAGACCAGACAGTCAGGACATGGCAACCCAGCAACGTGGAAGATTCACTGCAGGGAGCAGTGGAGGCCAACCCTTCTCCTCCAGTGGGGATTACCCCGTCAGCAGAGACTCCTCAGGGCCTTTGTGGGGTGGTGACCAGGGCAGCCTTTCACCTGGGACCTAAATCCATGTTCCCCTGGGACCTAAATCCATGTTGCCCTGCAAAAGGAACCCGAACATACCGGAGAGGTGGGACAGTGACACCCCATGAACGTCAACAAGGCCAAGTGCAGGTGCTGCCCCTGTGCAGTCCCAGGCACAAACACAAGCTGAGAGTGGAATGGATGGAGAGCAGCCCTGGGGAGAAGGACCAGGGGGACTGGTGGGTGAGAGGCTGGACATGACCCGGCCCAGAAAACCCCCCGTGCCCTGGGCTGATCCCACAGGGAGATGTGCAGCTGCTCCCTGGGCAGCAGAGCCTCGGGGTGCAGGGCGGCTGCTCAGGAAGGCAGCTGCTGGCTCAGGGCACTGCTGGATATTGTGCCCTCAGGCCACTCGTCCCAGCTCTGTCCCCTCCTAACTTTTCTCCCTTCCCCAGGGAATTTGGCTCTGGAAGCGCTTGTGCCCGTGAGGGGACAGGGGCCAGAGCGCCGTGGGCGGTGAAGTTTCCACTGTAAGAGAGAGGAATCCCA